CCCCCCAACAAAAAAAACCCAAAAAAATAAAATAAATAAATAAATGGGAATGTGCAGATAAATCTCCTTAACTTTTTTATTATAGTAATTCCCCTGAACTTTAGCTTATCTCAGAGAACATATGTTGCATGGGTACAGGACACAGTAAATTTGTAAAAAGTAGGGTACGAGTACATGACTATATTAATATATCTATACACATATATTATATATTGGAATTAATAATTCATATGAGAACACTGATGAGATTTAAATTTCCTATAACATTTTTTTTATTATGCGGGTTATAAATTGGAAAATCACTAGTTTTTGAACTAGACATCCAAACGATCCTTTAAAATCATAATTTCGAACTGATCTATGTCCAACAACTTTCAAGAAGTGGATGTGAAGTGTGGGATATATGTCCAGAAAATGTATGACAATTTTGTTAAATTAACACATGTATTGTGTAATCGATTGCATGCCCGAATAAATATATGCATATATGCAAAGAGTGTCCAAGGAGAAGGAGTTTGGGTATGGGCACGTGTCCATTATGGGTATGGCTTCATATCAGAAGTACCCAGGTAACATAGCAGAAAACCCTCATGAAGTTTAAACTTTTCTCACCGGAACACCCCGGGGGGTAAAGGAGCTGTGATTGACAAATAACTACACTTTTTTTGAGAGGAATAATCTCCAACGTAGTCATTTGTCATTTACCGGCGACTTACCCCCTTCCTATGGTAAAAACTTATAATCACATACAAATATACAATGGACAATGAAAAGAAAGGCATTGTGGCTCGGTAGTTTCTCCTAAAAAACAGAACAGGCAAAAGAAAGAGACAATATGTTATGCCTTAAAGCACATACAGCTTATAGATGAGGGATCACACTGATACAGGAGATCATAAACATGAGTCTGGTGTAGTCATGCTTAGCAGCCATAGCTCTATTGTGGAGGTTTACGATTCACCAAAGGAGGAGCAGATTCTTGCATCAACCTTCCTCACATGCATAGGTTTGAGATGAAGGACCCACTTTCAACATGCCCAAATTCCAAATACAAAGGGATGATTGGATGGAAACAAAAGAATTTGGAATAAATTTTTTCCAATTTTAACAATACTAACCATTTACCTTGTGTGTGTATTCCAAATACTCAAACCATCACGCATAATGAATTTAAATATATCGCTCAACTACCTTTCAATGTTTAAAATTTTATCATCTACATAAAATTTATAATTTAACTATTGGACAATATTTGCAGTTCTGTATCTGAGAAGCAACCTAAGAATGAAGCTAAGCTTGTGCAATTTTCAGTAAAATGTATACGCATAAATGAATTAGATTAACAGTTAAATAGCATGGAGTACCCAAGAGACTTAACATAGCAGTAAACTCACCTAATGCTCTCACTTAGTGCTCCAAAAAGGACTACAGAATTCAGACTTTTCAGCTATTTTGAACATCTTTTATTAAAAGATTATGATAAGGATTCAATGTAAGCACGGAATACATAGTATCAAAGGTTTTCAAATCCATTCGAAGCTAGAAACTGTCACAATGAAGGAGAACAAACCCAGCACAAAGCAATTAAAATGTAAACCCCCACAATAGGCAAGCCTGGTTGCTTGTTAGCACAAGCGAAACCTTTCCTATTTAAAGCACAAACTTTTACAGAACACCCAATGAAAATTTGAAGAGGAAAAAAAATAGTCCAATAGGATAAAAGATTTTTTTCACCTATATACCCCCAAATCAACCATATCTGCATTACCCCTCAAATCTAGATGTCTTCTAAATTTACCCCCAATTCAACCATACTTAGTGAAATACCCCAAACTTAAAGATCGTTAGTTTTTTAACATAACCCATTAGAATTGCCATAAACTGGCAAATATTTAGATTTAGAAGGTAAATTCGCGGTTATGGTTGATTTGAGAGTATATAGGTAAAAAGCACATAAAAAAGTCACTTCTTTTGTGCTTTTTTAACATCATATAATTGTAGTCTTACGAAACTTTTCATAGGTTCATGGGGTTTTATGAAAATAAGGTTGAAAGTTTGGGTTCTTTAAAAAAAGTGTTGAAACTTTAGGAGGTGTTTCTGAGATAATCGTGGCTTAGGGGCTGTTTCGTTGTTGTTGGTAAAGTTGTGTATTTATGACACAACTTGGAAAGTTGTTATCCACCTCAACAATTTTACTTTTATACTTTTCTTTGTTTGTTTTTGATTCCATTGGAATCATAAATTGCTTGTTTGGTTAGTAAATGTAAATTTAATTGTTTGTTTGGAAAGTGTAAAAAGTGGTCCCTACTCAAATGATCATATTGGTTGGAATTATTTTTTATTATTTTTTCCTGACTTCAAGGTCAGCTTTCTCCTAAAATCATGTCTTTTTTTATGAAATCACTTTACAAGCCACATCAGCATATGAAATCATTTTACACTATTTTCACAACTACAAACAAACAATTGAAAGTGATGAAAGCTGACATTGGGACCCACTTTTTTACACTTTCCATCCTTTTACATGGTAAAAACATACAACCAAACAGCCCCTAATAACGATTCTTTCATGCAAGAAACAATAATTTACAGATTTAACCTTGAATGATTAGGGTTTTTAATGACACGCCTCCCGCTTATATCATAGTTGCATATTTACCCTCTAAATTTCACATGTGTTAATTTACATTCTTTCTTATTGATTTTATAGGGGTAGATTAGCATGCCCGAATTCAAATTTAGAAATAGGATAATTTTGAGGGTACAGAAGCAAAGGGTTACTAAAGGATAGAGAAGACATTTTATCAGTTTTCCCTTCCAAGCTTAAGATACGATAAAAATATTAAAAAAGAAAGATAGTTTAGCTCAAGATCAAAGAATGAAAGTGTAAGTTAACAAACAATATCCAATCAAGGTATCTCAGGACGATCGGAGAGGTTTGCTTCATGTTCAACGGTCCCGGATTCGTATAATGTAGAAGTCCTCTAACCAAGCTCTCCCGTTGCAATAAAAAATGATCGGATAGATTTGCTTCATGTTCGTTCAACTCTCCCTCAGACATAGAAGTCCCCTATAACAAAGCTCTCATGTTGCACCCCAAAAAAATAGGGATAAATCCATATATAAGATAAATA